AGAAGTCCTATGGGATTTCGCGCTCCTAGGGGGATTGTTCCTGAGCGCCCCACCGCTGAGCTCGTGGTGTCTGACTGCAGGTCTCAGTTGTGGGGATAGTTATTAAGTAGGTAGGATACCTTACATTAAGTTATTATGTAGGTCGGATGCCTTACATTAAGTTATTATGTACGTAGGATAGCTTACATTAGGTTATTATGTAGATAGGATTCCTTACATTAAGTAATTATGTTGGTAGGATTCCTTACATTTCCCATCTCTGTCTGTCTCGTGCGGGCGGCCGACGTCCCGTGTAAGCGACCTCTTGTTCGAGTGTCTTGGTTTCTGTTGCTTTTCACCTGTCCCTCCTTGTCACTTCGTCTCTTTGAGATGTTAACGCTGCTTCTTTCGAGACAGCTTCAGCGGGCTGGACATTTGAGACCTTCCGCTCATTGTGGGTGATGATTAATTTGATAATTTGAATAATTGGGGCCTTCCGCCTTGCTTGCGAGGTCATCTTTTGACCCCCGGTCATCTGCAGTGCGGTCATCTGCAGTTTGACCCCCGGTCATCTGCAGTGCGCGCGCTGCCCAACAAGCAGTGTGCTAGCGATCCGCTGCCGACGTCGTTACTTAATTAAGGGGAATGTCGCAACCCTAACATCTTTTCTGGCCTAATCTTTTCAACCGCTGCCTCACTGACGGTGTTGTTCCGGAGAACTTCAAATCAGCTTACATTACGCCTGTATTGCAAACACAGACATTGACGCTTCTGATCCCAAATCAAATCGACCATCTCCAACCTGTCGATTGGAGTTGGGTCGAAACTCCTGGAACGCGTTGTGGCCCGACAGCTGAACAACCATCTTCAGCAGTCCAGCCTCATGCCTCGCCTCTAGTCTGCATATACCGTCATCTCCACTAGTCGGAAACCGCTGTGCTGAAGGTGCCTCTCCAGACCACCGTGCTGAAGGTGCTTCTCCAGACCACCGTCCTGCTGAAGGTGCTTTCTGACATTCTGCGAGCAGTAAACCGCGGCGACAAGGCGGCACTGGATTTACTCGACCTGTCGGCCGCATGTGACGCAGCCGACCACGCCACTTTATTGCGTCGACTTGACGTATCCCATCATCCGGCCTGCGAGGCGCTGTGCTGCCGTGGTTCGAGTCCTATCTCAGCAATAAATTTCAATGCGTACGAGCTGAAACTCTTCTTCTACGCCATCGTCGGTCACCTGCGGCGTACCACAGGGATCAATTCTCGGCCCAATCCTCTTCCTGTTATATGCTGTCGACGTGTTGGACATAATTCATTCACATGTTTTGAATCCGCCTACAACGCCGACGACTCCCAAATTGATGGTTACTGTGCGCAGACTGACGCCGTAGCGTCGCGGGACCCTGATGTCTATCTGCATGGACTCCGTCTCAGGCTGTATGCGCTCAAACAGCTCCAGCTCAATGCATCAAAAAACTGACTTTATTTCGTTTGTGACTGCTCGGCGCTAGTGTCAGCTTCCGGCCGACCATGTTCGCGTGGGCACCGAGTTCGTTATGCCTGCGTCTTCGGTTCGTAACTTTGGCGTTCTGCTGGACTCCGAACTTTGTATGAACAATCCCATTGCCAAAGTCACCGCCGCTTTCTTTGGTGCAATGCGACGAATACGTAGCGTCACCCGCTGTCTCGCGAGGCCAGTCATCGCTGCACTCGTTATGACCAGATTGGATTATGGTAATGCCACACTCTATGGACACCCGACCACAGCACTAATTAAACTGCAGTCCGTAATGAACGCTGCTGCGTAACTCGTGTGTAACTAGTAAGCAAAAAATTCGACCACGTGACGCCGATATTGCGTGATCTTTACTGGCTGCGCATGCAACAGCGCACTCAGTTCAAGGTCGCTGTCCTGACGTTCCGATGCCTTCACTGTCTGGTGCCATGAAAGCATCGGAAATGTCTGTAGCGCGTGCCGGATCTGCCTTCTAGGAGACAATTGCGCTCGTCACCAACAGCGAACCTCGTCGTACCATCTATACACGTCTATCTGCCGTCGGCGACACAGCGTTCCCGGTCGCCGGCGCCAGAAACTGGAACATTCTGCCGGCTTACGTAACTTCGGCTCCTTCTTTGCTGGCGTTTCGTCAACGCCGAAAGACAGAACTGTTTCGTATAGCCTATGGATCTAGTGCTTAGTCATTTTATCCGTTCCCATCCTTTCTTGTGACTAGGTATTTGCTTTTTGCTTGCTATTTAACTTATGTGTAACGTGCTCTGAAAGTTCGTTTGAAGCAGACGTCACGATAAATGCTTCGTAGAATAATAACAATAATGTATGCGACGCTGTATAAGACTTTGATGTGGTGCTGTATAACAGTTGCATGGGGGTGCTGTTTAAGACGTGTATGTGACGCTATATAACACTTGTATGTTGTGCTGTATAACAGTGGTGTGGGGTGCTGTATAACAGTTGTATGTAGTGCTGCATAACACTTGTATAAAGTGCTGGGCCCAGCATCCCTGGGCGCCGCATGTCGACGGCTCCAGCGTAGTCGCTTTCCTGGAAGTTCGCTTCACTTTGCGCCTGGCGAGAACATTTCTCCCTTGACTCGATCACATCTGTACTCTATTTATAATATACTCAAAGTATTATTTGTACATTACTTATACATTATTTGTACATAAGTTATACCTTATATATTTATGCCATACTCGTACATCATTTATACCGTAGTCCTACATTATTTATGCCATATTTATACACTATTTAATATCTTTACATAAAGTATGTTTCAATAGACATTCATAATCCGTGTTGCGAGCGGTGTTCGTGCCTTCGTTCGTCAGAGATCTATGCACAATTGTGATAGTGTTCACTTGTCCCATGAAGTGTTCAGTGTGAGTGTTCAATGAAAACGTGGAACTGTTCCAGTGAACAGCATGAGTGAGCTGTACCCTGCGCATGTATGCACACGAGGCATCTGTGTACGGCTATTTATGTACACAGCGTGTGTGTAGGGCTATGTGTGTAGACAGCGTGTGTGCAGGGCTATGTGTGTAGACAGCGTGTGTGCAGGGCTATGTGTGTAGACAGCGTGTGTGTAGGGCTATGTGTGTAGACAGCGTGTGTGTAGGGCTATGTGTGTAGACAGCGTGTGTGTAGGGCTATGTGTGTAGACAGCGTGTGTGTAGGGCTATGTGTGTAGACAGCGTGTGTGTAGGGCTATGTGTGTAGACAGCGTGTGTGTAGGGCTATGTGTGTAGACAGCGTGTGTGTAGGGCTATGTGTGTAGACAGCGTGTGTGTAGGGCTATGTGTGTAGACAGCGTGTGTGTAGGGCTATGTGTGTAGACAGCGTGTGTGTAGGGCTATGTGTGTAGACAGCGTGTGTGTAGGGCTATGTGTGTAGACAGCGTGTGTGTAGGGCTATGTGTGTAGACAGCGTGTGTGTAGGGCTATGTGTGTAGACAGCGTGTGTGTAGGGCTATGTGTGTAGACAGCGTGTGTGTAGGGCTATGTGTGTAGACAGCGTGTGTGTAGGGCTATGTGTGTAGACAGCGTGTGTGTAGGGCTATGTGTGTAGACAGCGTGTGTGTAGGGCTATGTGTGTAGACAGCGTGTGTGTAGGGCTATGTGTGTAGACAGCGTGTGTGTAGGGCTATGTGTGTAGACAGCGTGTGTGTAGGGCTATGTGTNGGCTAGTGTTACTGAACTTATGACTTCTGGCACCCTCAAGCAGTGAGACTAGTGCATAGTAACAAGACTATAGTGAGGCTAGTGTTACTGAACTTATGACTTCTGGCACCCTCAAGCAGTGAGACTAGTGCATAGTAACAAGACTATAGTGAGGCTAGTGTTACTGAACTTATGACTTCTGGCACCCTCAAGCAGTGAGACTAGTGCATAGTGACTAGACTATAGTGAGGCTAGTGTTACTGAACTTATGACTTCTGGCACTCTCAAGCAGTGAGACTAGTGCATAGTGGTTAGATTAATGGTTATTGGTTTGTCTGAGTAGTGGCTAGTGGGTTGTTTAGGTAATGGATAGTGGGTTGTCAAGCTAGTGGCAATGGGTGTAGTGGTGAAATTAGTGGCCGCAGGTGTTGCGATTAATGATGGTAAGTACGTAATGTGTTTAATGGTAAATTAAGTTGATATCTGTAACTAATAGATTAGTGGCACTCAAGTGTGGTGAGGCTAATGGCAATAAATGGTACTATGATTTCTTATGATCAGCAGGTAGCAAATAGTGACCAGAAGTTTCGAGACTGGGAAATAGTTTACAGATGTGCTATGCAGTGACGAATTAGGTAATTTAATGACACTAGTAAATTACCAGATAATGAGACTATTAAATTACCGGGTAATGAGACTATTAAATTACCAGATAATGAGACTATCAAATTACCGGGTAATGAGACTATTAAATTACCGGGTAATGAGACTATTAAATTACCGGGTAATGAGACTATTAAATTACCGGGTAATGAGACTATCAAATTACCGGGTAATGAGACTATTAAATTACCGGGTAATGAGACTATTAAATCTGTCTCTTATACACATCTAGATGTGTATAAGAGACAGATGTGTGGAGACAGCGTGTGTGTAG